GCCGGGACCCAGGGCACGGCGCGCCTGGAAGGAGGGTCCTGGCCGCTCAGGGGCCCCCGGAGGCAGACCCCAGGCTGCCGCACACCGCCGTTGGCAGCGGCGGGCTCTGTCCCCGTGGGTACCCACCTCGCAGCCAGCGAGCGCGTCCGGACTGTGCTTGCGCTTTCGGAGCTCAGTCTGGTGGAGGTGGGTGTCAGGAGCTGCTGACCCCTGTCGGTTGCGTTGAGTTTTGAGAAGCCCATTTATTTCATTGGCGAGTTCTGGATAGGACATCTTGGCAGGGTGGGCATCTAACAACACACACGTAGGGTTTCTTTATTTTATAGGTAGTCATAGCTCCAGTGGGGATTGAGGGGTAGCTTCACAGCCGGTGCTCGTGGGACCAGTTCCAGGATGCACGCACCTGCGGTGAGGTGTTCGTCCAGTTGGAACACGGTACAGGGAAGGACACAAACACATTGGTTAAAACGTCTTTAGGAGGGCTCATTTGACGTATACTCATATACTTCATTTAACGCAGCAGCTTTATAGAGTAGGAATTACTATTTCCTTTTACGAGCCGAGACCCAGATAAAATAATTTGACCAAAATTAATAACAGGATTCCAATCTCAAGTGTTTGTTACTCATTCTTTTTCAAGTTACACGTGAAATTACTAACTCCTACTAGCACGTCTGAAAAACGCTCAAGCAAGCCTCTCTAGTAGCCATTGTCATCTTGCATGACATGTAAGGAAGTTGTGATTATTGCTGTTAACAGTCACTGCTGGCATCTAAAAAAAAAACTTGGAGTGATTTCAGATTTACAGAAAAGCTGCAAGATAGGACAGAGTTCCACTGATATTCAGCAGAGTGGCTCCACCTCAACAAACATTGGCTCCTGCGTTGTGCTAGCTACCATTCTAGATGCTGGAGAGAGTAGCAAACTGCTCTAGATGATTTCAAGGTCTGGTTGAGGAGACAGACACAGAAACAAATATAAAAGCTTTTGCTAGATGTTGAAATGGAGATGGAGCACCGAGGACGCTGTGTCTGCCTTCCTGGGAAGGCGTGGTGACGGCTTGCAGGGGACCCTGTTTGAGTTGAGTCTCAAGGGTTAGTGGGTATTCACTGGATTGCTGGGACATGTGTCCCAGCATTCATCCTAATTAGGTTTGTTTTATTAGAGGAGAACTCTCTAACCTTTATTAAACACTCTTTGAGATTTGTTTTACAGGTATCATAGGTTGTGAGTAGAGTCCCAATATATATAAACCTATGAATAGGAGATTAATTAAGCTGTGTTTTATGCAGTAATGGAAATATCTAGAGTTACACATTTTTAAATTCTTTGTTTTTCATACTTATTAAATATTTCTGTGGCCTGATGACACACTTTTTTTTATGTGGGGACAGGAGCACAGTTCTGTGTTAGACCCCACACCGGAGGGGACATTTGAGTAAGTGTTTTAGTTTGGGCTGCTGTAACACAATACCATACCCTGGGTGGCTGAAAAAAACAGACATTTCTTTCTCACAGTTCGGGAGCTTGAGAAGTCCAAGGTCAAGGTGCAGGTTCCTGGTGAGGGCTCCTCCTGGCTTGCAGATGACCAACTTCTTGCTGTGTCCTCACTTGGCAGAGAGTAAGAGAGAGCTCTGGTCTCACTTCCTCTTATAAGGACACTGATCCCATCTTGAGAGCCAACCCTCATGACATCATTTACACCTAATTTCCCAAAGGCCCCACCTCCAAATACCATCACGTTGGGGATTAGGACTTTGACATGTGAATTTTGAGGGGGACACAATTTAGTGTGTAGTAGATGCGTTTCTTGGAATTTTTGTTATGCAGAATTAATTCCTACAAAATAGATTTGTTGTAGAACTAAATAGGAAACTCAAATTAGTGATGACATGGCTTTCACAGAACACTTTTATTTAAAACAGTTTTAGATCTATTAAATCTGATTCAGGGACCAGTTGAAGAACTTTTGTTTTCTCCTCTTCTCCACTTCCACCCCTGACCTACGGGGTCTCCCCTGAGAGCTGGATCTCTGAAGGCGGGGTGTCTCCTCCCACGTACTCACGGCGCGCACCCAGGGCCTGGTGCACCCGGAGTATGGTCCATGGCTCCACCAGGGCTCGAACCCAGGACCTTCTGCGCATAAAGCAGACGTGCTAACCACTACTCCATGGAACCACCCTCAGTTGAAGAGATTTTAATCGTTTCATCTTGATGAAGGAGAAATGAGCGGTGACACACTGGTGTGCTCTTCACTTTTGGGCCTTGCAGGAGTGAGTGCCCTCACGGAGTTAACAAGTTACGGCGTGCAGACTGTGGCATTGATCTATGCCATTCCCTCCTTGTCTGCTAGGGAGGCTGAGCCCCATAGAGTGACACATCCGTCTCAGAGATTAGTGGCAGAGCAAGGATTAGAATTAGGCCGCCTGATCTGCAGGCTGGTCTTCCTGCTCTTCTGTCTGTGGTTCTCAAAATGAAGGTGCGTCACGGTCACCTTTGGGGCCTGTGGAGACATGCTGGGCCTTGCCCAGAGGTGCCACTTCAGTAGGTGTGGGCTGGGGCTGAGACTGCATTTCTGACAAGGTCCTGGGTGATGCCGAAGCTGCTGGCTCGGAGGCCACACTTTGAGAACACTGGCCTTACACCCTGTTGCCTTTGATCTCTTATAAGAGACAGTAAATAAACCTCCCTGGGTTTATACCAACCAAACCTTTTCCTTGGTACTCAGGGAACCAAGTTCTTTAATTTTGTGTTACAGACAGTAGGGCACCAATGTCAACATGATTAGATGAAAAAAAGGACTAGAAATAGAGTATTTCTCAGAGAGAGTCATTTTAACCTTTTCAGGGATCATTTTTGGAAGTAATTCTAGAGGTCAGAACCATGTCACTGTTGAAGGGGAAACCCATGACCTGTGAGGGCCCTCGGTCCTATCAGCATTCCCAGTGAAGAGGGCGTCCAGGTCGACTGCTAGTTTGTACAGCAGTGAAAACTTACTTCCAGTTTTGTTGCTCGGTGCTTTTCTCTGTCATTTCATGTACTGAAATAATTCTTTCCTGTATGTCAAGGTCTTATCAGGGTCTAGCACAGTCGATGTTGAATAAATGTAGGTTGAACTAAATTAAAAAAGAGTAAGGTAGGTCGTTTATCTGGAGAGACTTTAGTGCTTAGGAAAGTTACTCTGCTCTCTAAATTATCTCAATTGCAGGTTTTTCTTGAATAATTTCAATTTATTCTAGCTTGAACCTTATTTGTAATGATTTTTTTTTTTTTTTTTAGCAATTACCGGAGGTAGCATCTTTTAATGTTAATGAGTGATCCTCTATACCTTTTTATCATTCATCTGAAATGATTCTAAAACAACTTTTTACTTTGAAATAATTTTAGAATTACAAAAAAGTTTTAAAAAATAGTCCGGGGAGTTCCGATAAACTTTTCAACCAGCATCCCTATGTTGACATGTAATGTAACCATAGTGCAGTCATCCAAACCAGGCAGTTGATACAGTTACTCTCAAGACTTTGTTCATGTTTCCCCACGGATGTCCTTTTTCTGGGCCAGAATGCAATCCAATATCACGGATTGCGTTTAGTTCTCATGTCTCACTAGTGTCTGCTAAGCCGTGACAGTGCTTTTTGGATTTCTTTATCTTTTACGGCCCTTTGAAGAGTACCGGTCAGTTATTTTGTAGAGTCTTTCATGATTAAGTAAATCGAGGGTTAAGCGGCTGCGGCAGGGATATCCCAGCAGTGAGGTCATGCCCTTCCCAGTGCGTAGCACTCCGGGGTGTGTGTGTCACTGGTAAAGGTTAATTTTGATCTCTTGGTTGAGGTGCTGTCTGACATCTTTTTGTGCTCTAATGTTCGAAATGTTCCCTTTGTAATTAATAAGCCTCATAACTGATTTTAGTGTAGAAGTATAAAAGAAACGAATGTGTTAAGTCAGAATCCCTTGAGCATGACCCTAACTGTGAGATAGTTCTTATTCTGGGAGGCTTCATTGTTATTTGTTAGACCGAAGCATAGCAAGGAAGGGTAAAGGAATGGGGGTTGGAAGAACAGGTATTTGCTCAAAAACTTGTCCTTGATCTTGGTCAGTGTCGGTTTTGAATTGGCAGCAGTGGGAGCGCTTCATCCCGGTTCTTTTGCTGTGGTTCTGTGATCTGTCTCACACCTGTCTTCCAGTGTGTGCGGCTTTCCATACCTGTGACTTTCTCAAAATTCTCCCTGGAGCATTTTTGCAGAGGACGGTTGCGCTTCAGCTCCTTCCAGCAGTTGCGTAAGGAGTCGCGCTTCTCCACTCGCTTGGTCCGTGGAGCTGGGTGTGTGTGTTCTCTCTGTGGGTCACGCCGGTGGAATGTGGGGTGAAGTACACATGCACACAGGCACATTGTCTCTGTTTGCAAAATGTGTGCGCCTGTAGCATCCCGACCGGAGTAAATGGGAAGCGCCCCCTCCGGCCTGTCTCCCCGAAGCCCGGAAGCCCCTCGAGGCGGTCGTGGATCTCTGTTTACCAGCGACTTGCTTGGCAGCTGGCACACGCAAGGCGCTCAATAACTATTTGTGAATAAGTGAATGTTCTGCCCGTATTTTGTTAGCCGCTGTTGTGAGTTGCCAGGACACTGTGAACACCTTTCTCCGGTGACACCGTCTGGTCTGTGGACGGCCACGCAGCCTCACCTGGGAGCCATCCCGCGTCGTCGCGTTCCAGCTTGGGAACAGGTCTTTCTGTGTGCAGCGTTCCCTGGTGGATATCTTTAAACACATATTATGTCCAGTTGTTTCCTTAGGGTAAATTCTGTGATGTCATTGATCGCTCAGAGAAGGTACATATTTTTAGGCTTTTTCATGTGTTTATTGCAAAATTACCCACTAGCAAGGTTTGTATAGATTTATATCTCCACCAGTACTATGGAGAATGCCCATTTTCGAAACCACACTTTCCCCAATGCTTAACTTTCTTTTTTTAGAACAATACTGAATGGAGGCCTTCCTTCCCTTTCCTCCCCTTCCTTCCTTCCTTTCTTCTGTCCTACCCTTTAGGTCAGGACTTCCACCGGCTGGCACTCTCACTCTCCCTCACGCTGACTCCACGCCGACCCCGGATATTTTTAAGGAGTCTTCCTGAAGTGTGGTGGGGTGGGGATCATAGTCTGACTTATTTGCTAATAACTTTCCAGATGTCACCTTGAAAATTTCCATTTTTTGTTTGTCTCAACGAGAGAGGAATGAACAAGTAGTTAACAGCTGATCAGTGTTTCACTTGGGCACGTTCCGTAACCCCCTAAAGTTAGAGCTGGCAGTATCTGTGGCTCTTACCAAGCAGGAAACTTTTGAGGGCTGGATACATTTCTGTTCGTGTCATTTACTAAAGTCAAGTACAAGTGTCAACACTTAAAGGCTTGAATACGGAAGGCAAATCTATGGAACTTTCAGAAGATAGTGTTGGACAGTGATCGTATGTATGACCGATGGAGCAACGAGGTTTTTAAACAAATCACAGAAGGTACAGACTGTAAAGGAAAAGATCAGTGTTTGACAATATTCATATTGATCATTAGTGTTTATTAAAAGAAACCAAGAAAGTGAACAGACAGAACACAAGTGAGAATAGGCGTTTTCAGTACACATTACTGATAAAAGATTAGTATCCAGAAAGGTAAACAACAACCAGTTGATACGAACAATAGAGAAATGGGTGAATTACCAGACTAAGCATCTCACAGAAGAGGAAACCTGAATTCAGAGATTCTCAGTTTCATTAGTAATTTGCAAAAGGCAAATTAGGACCAAAATGGTATATACTTTCATACACATTGGGTTGGCAAAGAAGTAAAAATCTGACATCTGTTGGGGAGGAAGGAAACCACTGGATTGCTTATACACTGCTGATGGAAGTGCAGATTGGTCCAGGAGCTTTGGAATTACCTAGTAAAGTTAGAGATGCATGCACCTGTTGGCCTTGTAATCCCACTCTTAGGTCTTTATCCTAGAGCAGTGCTTCTAAATTCTCTTCCCACCATCTGAAGGAACTTGTTAGAAATGCAGATGTTGAGCCTCACCCTAGACGTATGGAGTTGAAACTGGGGATGGAACAGGGTTCAGGCTTAACAAGCTGTCCCGGTGATTTGATGCATGCTAAAATCAGTTGAAACCACTGCCTTAGAGAAAAGTATGTGCATGGGTCTCTGGGGACACGTACAAGAATGCTTAAATTGTATCGTAAAAGAAAAACCTGGAGGCAGTGTCCATCACAGGAGACTGAGTAAATTGTATTCCTGGAATTAAGTCCTATACAGTAATGAAACTGAATGGATTTTAGCTCCGTGTGTCACTGAGGATAAGTGTCAGGAACATCATCTCTGGTGGGGGAAAAAAAAAAACTATTTCCAGAAGAATGCATGTAGTTTTTTCTCTTTTATGTATTTCTTTATTTTTTAAGTTGAGGAACATGCAAAACAAAATTGCTTATTGTTAGGAATACAGATATGGTAAACTGATAAAGAAAACAGGTGAATTACAAACAAGATTGAAGTTGGTAGCTCTAAGAGGAGGGGAGGCGATGGGACATCAACAGGACTTCAAAGATAAGAATTTAATTTCTTAGACTGTGATCTGTCGGCAAGGTTTTGTTACGTTTAATACCTTTCACATACTAAAATTTTTTTGTGTCAGACAGTTAGAAAACTGGATGAAAACAGTTTCTATGGAAAGAAACCTCACCGGGTGACCTGACTATAAATTCCTAACTGGGCAGGTCACCATGGGAGGTCACGCCCCAGGCATAGAACTTCTTTAGCAACAGGTTTATCTTTGCCTTCCGCTGTTTCTGTGTACCTAGGTTAGCACACCTTCGAAATGCCAGAAGTAATTCCTCTGGAAGGCGTGACCGTCCTCAAGTGAGCACAGACTCTTACCTGTCCTGTACTCAGATCTCTGCTTTGCTTCTTCCAACCTTCAGTGACCTTCCTTCATTCCCTCCTTAATTCCAAACGCATGAAAGAAACCGCAAAGCTGTTCACGTTCTCTGGAGCATTTGAGATGTTGCTTCCTG